GCTTTCACGCCCCAAGCTGGCCGGACGTGGGTGCCAAGCGGGGACCCCCGAGCCGAGCCGCCGGGGACCGGCGTGGTGGCATCGGCCTCGCTGTGCTGCTGGCGTCCACCGTCTGCTTCCTCAGCCACAGGCTGCACCGCTGAGCACGGGGGGGGACCCCGGGTGACCCCCGGCCGGCCGAGCCCGCCGGGATTTCTTAGTGAATGACTTTCCTGGGAGATTAGATGTGGCTTGGGGAGGTGGAAGAGATGTTCTGCCGCTGCCTCAGTTTCCCCCCGCCGGCGTGATGGGACCCTGGGCCAGCAGCCAGAGCTGGGCAACCATCCCCGTGCCCGCGGGGCCACCCGGGAGCTGGCTGGATCCTGCAAACTCCCCTCTGCATGAGCACGCGTGAGCAAATCCAGCCCTGCGAGGACGTGGGGATATTTGCACTCGGAGAGATGCTGGATCGGCCCCACCAGCACTCGGCTCTGGTTTCCCACTGAAGGGCTTTACCAAAAAATGCTCCTTTCCCCCCAAAAGAGCACTGGGACTCGGAGGGAGGGGATGCGGGGCTTGGAAATGGACTCCTCCACCTTGCAATAAAGTTTGGCCTTGAGACATCCTCTCTTTTTTTAACCGAACCCAGCGTGTTTAGCACCGGTCGCAGCCTGAGGAAGAGACACCTTCAAGGGATGCTGGGGGTGGGGGGGGGGTGCTTGGTGACAAAGTCCTGCCCTGTCCATCTCTCTGGCTTCTGGTATGATCAAATATATCCCAATCTTTAGCACCCCCAGCCCAAAACACACCCAGCTGTGGGACTGACCCTCCCTCAGGTGCTTCATGTTTGGCAGAGGCTGCAAATCCTCCCTGGGGAGAGCTTGAAAGCCGTGGTGAGGGATGCTTTCCCTTCCACCACCTGCATTGTCTTCTCTAGTCCCCGCCTTGGGTGGTTAAACCTTCCCTAAAACCTGGTTTAGCTGCAGCAACTCCACCATTGCTGCGAGCAAGAAAATAAAGAGGCGCCAAGCGAAATACCGGGGGTCCCCAGGAAACCTGTGGGCAGCTGCAGTCACCGTCCTCCAGCGGGTGTCCCCCACGGAAGGATTTTTGAGCAGGTCCTCTCCCCTGGAATTAGGGGGTTTGTGGGGTATGAATATCCTTAGCATCTCCCCGGGAGAGCTGCCGAGCCGGGTCTTGCCTCTAGCAAGGGGTGGAAGGAGCCCTGGCTGATGTACCTTGATCTTCGGGGCTCTTTTACAATAATTAACTTAATTTTTACAGAACTCATTTGGCTCCTGAGGGATTTAACAGTATTTCGGAGCCGACGGGCAGGGAAGGCCCCAAGGCTGAAGTTCATGCAGCCGTGATCTCTCCCCTGGCTTAGGGACAACTTTTAGGTTGAACAAATCCAACCCCCCCCCCTCCCAGTTTAATTTCCAGCCTTTGCAAGGGGCTGCACTGCAGGAAAAGGCCGTTGAAGTGATTAGCATTCTCATTAATCGCCTCGTGTTGGGGAGTTTTGGGGTTCGGACGGGCGAGCGCAACCCCCAGACGCTGAGATCCCTCGGAGACGTGTTTTTCCAGGCAAGTGGTTGAAGGCGAGTCCAGGTGTTCTCATGCATTTTGCTCTGACGCAGCACCAGAGCAAACGGCAGCCTCCGGCGTGGCGGGCTGCAAAGCTCAGCCTAATTTTGGAGGGTTCTTTGGGAGACCCAGCCTTGCAGGAGCCTCCCCAGGGCTGACCCCGGGAGCCAGGGCTGGGTTTAGACAGGAGATGGTGCTGTTCGCTCGGCGATGCATCAACCCCAACCGCCAGCACCGGGTCGGGTGCAGGGAGAAAACCAGCCCCAGGCCAGGTCGAGGCACTCGCTTTGCGGTTTAAGCCTCTACGTGAGACTATTTCTCCTCCAGCTCTCTGCAACACCAAAAATCCTCTTTTTGGAGGTTTGGTTTTTTTTTTTTTTCAGGCAAGAAAACTACGTTCGCTTGCTGTGCCTGCACGGGGGGATGCGTGCTGCTGGAGATGAGGGATGCAGAGCGCAGGGGATGTGATGGGTCACCCGGAGGAGCGCGGGAAAAAACAACCCGCAACATTATTTTTTTTTTTTTGCAGCTGTACCTTGGGGTGTATTTATCGTCAGCCTGGTAAATCCGAAACGCTTCTTGTCCTCGTTTGGCAGCAAGGCTCCTGCCAGCCACTGCAGGGGTTGGAGTGTTTAGGCAATTAATACAGAGCAATTAATTATCTCAACAGACCAGTCCTAGGGGCCAAGAGGGCTTCAGGATTATGGGATCCAAGCGTCCTCGAAGGGCACAAGGAGGAACGGTGAGCGCAGGGATCCCAGCTCCCTGAGAAAAGCTGCACCCTCATTTTTCCACCCCCCTGCAAAACACCAGAGCATCACGATACAATTCCCCCCCCCACCCC